TTTGAATCTTTTTATATTGCCTAGTGATGCCTTCATCGCGAACGCGACCCGCCCCTCGCATTCGCGTAGAACACTCTGACTGGCCCCTCAAATTAACCCTTCGCGAACGCGTTTACTGACTCGCGAATGTGAAGCTTTGCCAACATTACTCATCGTGAAGGCGACCTCACCCGCGCGAACGCGTAGGCCAAAAATATGGGTCCCCAGTTATCTCCTCTCTTCTTCGCAAACGTGTCACCCTTCTCGTGTTCGCGATGCATCCACTGACCAAACCTTCACGAATGCGAGCCCCTCTTCGCGAACGTGAAGAACAATTTCCCATCAGCCTCCAGGTACACCTCGCGAACGCATAAAAGAAAACCAAAAAATTTCCACCAGCAGTCTTCAGCCATTAAGCTTAGTCAGAAAATGATCCGTCAACCATCTGAAATCCACCCGAGGCCACCCAGACCTCAACCAAACATACCAGCAAGCCCTAAAACATCATACGAACTTAGTCAAACCCTCAAATTACCTCAAACAATATCAAAAACACGAATTGCACATGAATTCAAGCCTAATGAACTTTGAAATTTCCAAATTCTACAAATGACGTCGAAACCTATCAAATCACGTCCAATTGACCTCAAATTTTGCACAAAAAGTCACAAATGACACCACGAACCTGCTCTAACTTTCGGAAATCTAATCCGACCCCGATATCAAAAAGTCCACTCCCGGTCAAACTTTCCAAAATTCCAACTTTTCGTCATTTCAAGTCTAATTCTACTACGGACCTCCAAATCACAATCTGGACACACTCTTATGTCCAAAATTACCTAACGAAGCTAACGGAACCATCAAAAGTCAAATTCGGGGTCGTTTACACATAAGTTAGCATCCGGTCAATTTTTTCAACTTAAGCTTTCAATTATGAGACTAAGTGTCTCAATCTACTCTGAAATCTCTCCGGACACGAACCAACTAACTTAGTAAGTCATATAACAGTTGTAGAGCATAAAAGGAGCAGAAAATAGAGGAACGGGGCTACAACTCTCGGAACGAACGGCCGGGACGTTACAATTCGCTAGGTATATACCAAAACTCGATGGTTTAAAGATATCAAATCTATCGATTGGCAACCGATATATGTTCATCGTGAAAAGTTCAAAGGGAAGCTTAATTATCCAGATGCAATTAACCCTTGCTTGCAAATCACATAGTTTTTCATGCATGTTCCTTGTTATAGCCATTCCTCATTTATATTGAGGATTGTTAATTTTTTGTTGGAAAAGCGGTGTGAGTGAGAAATGAAGGGAAATAAAAATTTGAAAAAGATTCCTTTAAAAGGGAATTGTGCCCCACATTGGTGGAGGAAAGAAAATTTATTGAGTTTAAATATAAATGCACTTCTTCTAACTTTTAAAGAATTGAGAAGAAGGCAAGCCTCGCACTGTCGTCGTCGCTTGCTCGGCTTGGCTTTGGCTTTGAATTTGAATTTGGATTTTGTGATCTGATTGATTTATAAAAAAAAAAGTTGGACCGACAAATATTATTATTTTATTAATATTAATGTTATATTAATATTTTCTGTTCGGTTTCGTAAGAGTCATTTTTTTTTTGTTTTTTCCGTTAATAGTTGGTTTTCGAAAATAGTAGTTTTCGTTAAGGGCCACTTGAAAATTTGCAACTTCTGATTTGCACCTCTTCGTTGAATGCAATCTTTTGGCTATAAATACATGGTCATTCCCTTAGTTTTTCTACGAAAATTCTGAATTATTTTCCTTTCTTTCTGCATTATTTTCTAACAAAAAGAAGTAAATGTAATTTGTTGTCGCTATTTGTGCTAGCTGAACACTGGTGTTTAAGGCATTGCTATACTAGTGAGGTTAATCCGTTCTATTCTGGGAACAAATAATTTAAAACTTCGAATATTAAGAGAGAATTAAGTTCCTTAAGGATACATTGTATAACTGGTGGCTCGAATTTATTTTTCTGCTTCTGCATTTGTGTTTATGTTTAAGTTTCATAATTATTTTTTCACGAATATAGAAAGATAACAACGACTCCTTCCAAAATATGCAAGTCACGAACAAACTATTTCCTAGATAATTGCGACATAGAAGTTTGAGTGAGGAGCTTAACTTTATGAGTGATTTTAAAAACAATATATGCTTCTAGATTCATTTTTTCACCTTCTCTCCATGTTACAAAAGCCGTAAAGTTTCTCTTGGTATATTAGTTAGAAAACATTTATTGATAAGTTAATGTCTATACATATAAAGAAAATTTTGATTGAATCAATCTTGTGTATAAATTTAACTCACACTGTAGTCTGTACACAATTCCTAAAAGCTTAGCGTCGCCTAGTATATTGTTCATGCAAAAGTATTTCCCCTCAGCAAACATACCCCGCAGAGAGCCAGAGCTCAGGATAATGAATCCTAGTATATATGCAAAACTAGTGTGAGATTATGAATTGTGTTGTTATTTCCGCTATCTATTAATTAGTTCTGCTATTCATATTACATTGTTGTTGTTATTATTTGTTTATTGCTCCCTTTTCTGTTCCTGAGCCTAGGGTCTATCGGAAACAGTCTCTCTATTTACACAAGGTAAAATATAAAGACCGCGTATGCACTATCTTTCCCAGACTCCACACCGTGAGAATATACTACATATGTTGTGTTGTTGTTGAGTTTGCCCTATCCAATGGGACCTTTTTCTGAGGCAGTGGTCCGTCCAATGACCCACTGGATTTTTGCATGTGAGCCAACAGCCCAAAATCCGCCAATTTTTTAGAGTTTGGGGAAGTTGCGATAGTGTCATCCATATAATGAGCCAATACTTCTTCTTTTTTTTTCTTTTTTTTTTTCAGTTAAAAAGAAAACAGACAAGATTAGGGAAAAAGAAGTAGAAGCAGAATAGTTGTAGACATGTAGAGGTTTTCTAGTATCGAAATTATGTGTAATATAAATAAGATTTAAGTTTTATTGGGAATATAAAAGATTTTTACAGTATTGCTGTATTTTAACATGTTCTTATTTTTCAGATTATTAATCTCACTTATCACAGGATAATAATTTATCTGATAGTAGTAAAATTATTTTATACAATCAATATGTAAAAGCTAAACTCTATAAATAAAGTGCAGACTGATTGAGATGAAGGGATTGCATATACTAAAATCTTTTTCAACTGGTGATTAGTTGAAGACTCAAATAACAAAGACACTGGTTATTTGAAAAGGGTCGGAAGCCGAGGCAGACTCAGAATTTAAACTTTATGAATTCAACATTTAATGTTCTTAGCATTGAACATATTATATTTTTAAAGTTTTGAATTCTGACCTACTATTTATTTCAATCTAAGTGAATTTTATACATTAATTTATACTATGTTAAAAAAATTGGGTTTAGAAAACACCGATGCTACTGCGAGGTTGCATCCGCCTCTGGTTAAAAAGGGCAAAGACAATATTGCGAAATTCATAGTTTGCCATGATTTTTAACACTACCCATGTCTTTGATCCATAGGACAAGCAAGAAAACAACGACTAAAAGGTATTATGATCAGAGGGATAAGAGTGAAATTAAAAAATACTCACGTTTACAAGTGGTAATTGAAAAATAGCATTAAAAGTACTTGAAATTTAGCCACTTTTAATGTAAAGATAAATCTGAACGAAAACACTATTTAAAATCCGAAAAATATTCCAGCATAATATACTGGAGTTCGAATTTTTTACGTGTGAACTTCCAGCATAATATACTAGAGTCCGAACATAATATACTAGAGTTCCAGCATAATATACTGGAATTCCAGTGGTTCAACATAATATGCTGAAAGTTCGTACACATGTTCCAAACTCCAGTATATTATGCTAGAATTTTACGTGTGCTGGAGTTTCAACATAATATGTTTGAAGTTCATACACAGGTACACCAATCTCCAGTACATTATGCTGGAACTTTGCGTGTTGCAGCAAAATAGTGGCTATTTTTCAACGACTTTGCAAACGCTGACGATTTTTCAATTATCAGTCCGAAAACTGGCTAGTCTATCACGAGGGACACTCATCCATCTCCATTTCCCATGGACATAATGGAGTATCTGACTATCAAAGAGCATGAGAAGTGAAAAACATATGGGGAAAGCAAATTAACACAGCAGGTAACTAACTAAACACACTTTTTTAAGAACAGAAAAAACAAAATTTATGAAGCTCACAGCAAAAGAGAGCTCTTTGACAAGCTTGACGGTTTGCAGTGGCATACTCTGCTTAGATTGAGTTGCGCACGAATTTGGAGCTTTCACTGCCCAATGCCAATACAACAAGTTTTTGGTTACAGGTAGTTGAGAGTCTCTTCTAGTCGTACTAGTAGTATTAGTACTAGTCTTGTATTCTCCTATTCCTCGTTCTTTGTTGTTTCACGATGTGTCATTATTACCGGTAGTTTTCACACTTCTCTTATAGCTTCATATTCCTAGATATTTGTTACTACACGCTTTGCCATTTGCTTCCATTGTCTTATTTCCTTGCCATTGTTATTGTTTGTTTATTGTGTCCTTTTCACTGTTCTTGAGCCGAGTGTCTATCGAAAACAGTCTCTCTTTCTTCACAAGGTAGGGTAAGGTCTGCGTACACATTACCCTCCCGAGACCCCACGTGTGGAATTTCATTGGGTTTTTTCTTGTTGTTTTTCTTTGAACTCTTGATATTTGTAGCTGATCACATATTACGCTGAAAACAATGGCCAGATTTTCACTTACTCATCAAGGAGAATGATGGCCAGAGCTAGATATTAAGGTAACATAATTAGTTTTCTGATGAGTTACTTAAGATGGCATCTTAAGTGAAGAATCTGTAGTTCTGGGCAGTGATATCATCTATTAAAAGCTGGAAAAAAGAATTCCTGAATTGATTTGCTGAAGGGTGAGTGAATTAATAATCCAATTTCAGGCTCTATAACAAATCAAACTAACATATGACAGAGGAGCTTGGATATCAAGCAATGGTGCTCGGGAGAAAAAGGACAAAGTCCATTAAGTCAGATTAGTCAGAGTACTTGAATATATACATAAGCTATATAAACATGAAACTAACAAATTCTACAAGACATCAGAATTGAGCTTACAAGGATGTCCGTCCAATTCATTTAGGTTTCAAGTTCTCACTAATCAAGCAACAAATTTCAAGCACCGAGTATCTTTGTGGATGGTCTGACATTTGATTGAGCAGAAGCGCATTCCACATTGCACACATGTATAGTTCGCGGAGAAACCACAAACCGTGCAGAAATGACGGCGAGAGATGGAACTTGGTGGTCCCACTGCTGCTCTTAAATAGGTTGGCACATGGGGTGGCAAGGACTCCAGGTTTGCCTATTTTCATAAGTAACACGTTGAGAGGTTAATCTATGTCACTGAAGCTGAGAAAGAAAGCATCTACTAGCCCTGGAAATCTATACCTCATGCAAGAGCTCAAGGAATGTTTTGGGGGCTCTCTTATGCTCAAGTGCCTTAGCTTGGCGTGTTTTCCGTTTTGTGCCTTTCGGGTACTTCTTGTGAAATACTGGAACAGTATTTTTTTTTTTTAAAAAAAAATTAAAGTCAGAGTCAGAAAAGGCCATGATAGGAAATTAGAGAAGAAAGGAATAGAACAATACAAATCCTCATCTTAAGACTGGAAGAGAAGGTTTACACAAGAAGTATATGGAAAAGATAAAGAAGACAAGGATGACAAGATAAAAATGATTAAGATGAAACTAATGTTACTGTACCCTCAATTGTGGGCTATATCTTTCTGAACATAACCTAAGAAAGAGATCCTGAAAAATGAAGGTCTCTATTTCAATGGAAAGGGGGAAATCACCCATCTAATAGCTAATTATATTTTTTTTATTTTATTCTTGTTCCATCCCATGGTCCAGTGGCCATTTACTTTTGTAAAGAGCCGAATAGTAATAGTTTTCTGGGTGGATAACTAACCCCACAGACACAAGAAAAGAATCACATCCCACGAACCATTTCCTTCTCTTTTTTTCTCTGGGTAACTACTAAGCCCACAGACAATGTAGAAGTAACATCCTTACAACAATTTTTTTTTTTTCATCCTCTCACTTATATGGGTAGTGATGCAGGCTGATCTTCAATCAAAACGCTACAGGAAGCGAATTATAGGACCTAGTGCGAATGTGAACAAATTGTGGAAGCACTCCTTACTGAGAATATGAATCGACTAAAGCCTGTGAATGTACAATAAACAAATCCACACTGTACAAGTCCATAGTTCTTCTTACCACCCCTTATTGAGCAACACGAAACAACTAAATCCTATAAATGTGAGACTTTATAAAGAGAGTTGTAAAAGATATATCTTCTTGTCAACAATAAAGAAAGATTTATATTCTTATCAACTATTCATGATATATAATGCTTGCATAAATGACAAAAGTTTCTATTCTCACAGTCTTACAATCGCGTAGAGTATGTTTAAGTGGAAGGAATTGGAAGAACAGAAGGAACCAATCAAAACTATGCCTCAACTATAAACTAGCGGGGTCAACTATATGAATAATCCATATCAAATCAGCCATATCCAAACCATATTAGTAGATGTAACACGTGCCACGTGCCTAAATGAGCACGTCCCGACCAACGAATTCAGTATTAAGAGGAACTCGTCATACCTAGACTATTTTTATTCCAACAGCTAACCTACCACAATCAGTGGCGAGGCCACAGACAAAGAATGGGTTCAATTGAACCCACTTCATTGGAAAATCGTACTGCCCAAATAGGGTAAAAACAATTTTTTATATACTTACAGTTGAATCCCCTTGTAGTGGCAAATGTAATTCATAAGTTGTTTTAAGTCACAAGTTTGAATTTTTTGAATCTCCTTATTAAAATTCCGAGCTCCGCCACTACTAACAACAATACTCTTCCTTTATCTAAGTTACTGGCTTCTAAATTAAGAATCTGTACACATTCAATGGATTTCTTAAGAGTAATACAAGATTTGGACCAAAGTTACTAGGGTCAGCCGAACTCGTACCGTGTACACTGGATCCGCCCCTGCCTTTAACAAAAGTGGGAGCAACTATGTTACGGGAAACTCTGGTATGCGCAGTTGGCATAACACAATAGAGAGAATAAATGCAACATAACTAAACCAAGAAATTCAACTCCACACAAGCTAAAATTTGTGCAAGCAAAAAAAAAATACCTTGATCCTCATCGTCAAGAGAAGCTTCATCATCATCATCAAGTGGTTGTTGTTCCACTACTGCATTATCACTTTCCAATGCATCAAGACGCGCCAGCATAGCCTAAAAATGAATAAATTGATTATTAAAAACCATAGATTTATTCAAAACAAGCAGGATTCCCAAATTGATGAATTCAAAACTTAAATAAGTGTAATTAGCAGACCTGAGTTCTATTATCAGAACTTGCTAGAGCAGCAGCCATTTTTGGAGCAACCTTACGAGTTCGCATGGACATTCGCCTCGCTGAATTTGACAATTCTTCATCCATTGCTTCAAAGTCAGATTCAAAATTACGAAAATGATTTTTTACTCTCGTTAGTACTTTCGAATTTTTCTTCACTTTCCTGATTGGAATAAGCAAAAAGAGATTCCGACTTATTTCTAATCTTAGAGAAGTAGCCGGAGAGGAAAGTGAAAACGCGACGAGTGACCGGCCGGCGGGAGAATTAGGGCTTAAGAAGACTTCGATTTCCGAAAGAAACAAACAGCTTCACAGCTTGATTTTCCGAACGGAGGCAAACGCATCTGGTATTGAATTCTGTTGAACCCTGAAGTTTTCAGGAAATCACGTAAGACCCTAAACTATGAAAAATGGTATATCTGTCCACTAACTTTGTTATATTGCTCATAAGAGCTTTCAATATTTTCAACTTTACAGTTCTTTGAACAAGGATTTACCAATTAAATTTAGAGGCAGGAAACTGTCTAGAAAGTTTTTTTTCCTATATGAATTAAAGAAATAATTTTCTGTGGAGTAAAAATTTAAATAGCTTAATATTTTGAAAATATTAAAGTATTAAACTCTTCACATTTATTCTGCAGAAAATTATACTACTAACTACTCCTTAATTTTGGAAACAGCCATTTGAAGTTTGTTATCATCATCCTTTATATTTGTTGTCTCTAAGCAACAGCTTGACATTTTTTGTTTAACAGGATACTCTATTCAAGATTAAGATTCATTTAGTACCATATAAGTTGGGGCTTTCATTGTAAAAATATAATTATTTAACTTTTTTGTATTTGTCAATGTTTGATATAATATTTGGCAAACAGGAAGAAATCACCTTGCTTTTCAAATTCTGCCCCAACTTGAATGCTAGTGTCCGCTTATTTTTATCCCACTTTATGGAACCACCAGGTCACAAACTTAGTTGCATCTGCAGCTATTTAATAACCCATGGAAGTCATTTTCCTTTAAGAATGTTTTTAGTAACCAAACACCAAAAATGACTTTTTCATGAAAAATATATTGTCCAACAAAAATGTCTTTCATCTTACCATACACCTTTTTTTCTTTCTTTCAATACTCTCTTTTAAAAGGTAGAATTGGGACTCACCTCGAGGCAGAGCACTCGTAAAACATCTTTGGGCTTATGTGTGGGGCTTAGTTCTGTGAAACTTACGCCTCGGTCATCGGGGCTTACGCCTATTATGACCCTTTTGGAAGTAAATTTTGTATTCTGTCTTACTTCGATTTACGTGCGCAGTTAGGGCATGTATCCGGGAAGCCATTATGTGAAAATCTGTGAAAAATGATAAATTTTGCTTTAAAAATGTATTTAAGTTGACTTCGGTCAACATTTTGGGTAACCGAACTCGTGATTCGATGGTCCCTGAGGGTCCGTAGGAAAATATAAAACTTGGGCGTATGCGCAGAATTGAATTCCGAGGTCCGAAGGCCAAGAAATAATTTTTTGAAGAAAATTGTTTAACCGAAATTATAATAGTTTTTAGAAATTTGAATGTATTTGAATTTTATGGTATCGGGTCCGTATTTTGGTTCCGAAGCTCGATATAGGCCTTATATGGCATTTAAGTTGAGCCTGTAAAATTTGGTAAGAAACGGAGGTCATATGACGTGATTCGGAACCTTAGTTGTAAAATTTGAAACTTTGAAAGTTCTTGAGATTTTCTTTGATTTTGATGCTAAACTTGTAATTGTTGAGGTTATTTTGATGATTTGATTGCGCGAGCAAGTCCGTATGATGTTTTTAGGTTAGGGTGCATGTTTGGTTTAGAGCCCCGAGGGCTCGGGTGAGTTTTGGATAGGCCTCAGAATGCATTTAGACTTAGAACATGACAGTTGCAGGTTCAGAGAAAATTACAGGTCTCTGAAACCAAGCTCCGCGGTCCGTGGTGGGGTCTTCGCGACCGCGGTGAGATTTGTGCGGCCAGCGGTGAGCAAGGCTGAGTCTTTGCGGCCGCGCTCGATATTTCGCGATCCGCGGTGGAGCTCCGCGGCCGCGGTCCTTTTTATGCGGTCTGCGGTGAGGGTCTGAGAGGAGTATATAAACGGGACTCTTCAGCTATTTTTCAATTTTCAAAACCCTGAAACATAAAAGGTGATTTTTCAAACACTCTTTCTTCCCCAAAACACTAGTAAGTAAATTTTAACTTATTTCTTTCTCTCTTTAACTTCTTTTTATAAAATTTCATCCTAGAATCTAGGGTTTTCATGATGGAATTGGGAGTTTTGGGTAAAACCTAAGAATATTAAAATTTGGGGATTTAGACCTCAAATTGAGGTCGGATTCCAAAACCAACTATATATCCGGGCTCGGGGGTGAATGGGTAATCGGGTTTTGGTCCGAATTTCGGGTTTGGACCAAGCGGGCTAGGGGTCGATTTTTGACTTTTTGGGAAAATCATTGGAAAACCTATTTTCATGCATTAGAATTGACTTATTTAGTATTTACTAATATTATTAAGTAAATTGTGACTAGATATAAGCGAATTGGAAGTGGAACCAAGAGGTAAAGCGGTAGTTGAGGCTTGATTGTGTTTGTGACTTCGAGGTAAGTATTTGGTCTAACCTTAGCTTGAGGTATTAGGAGTTGAGTCTTATTTGCTATGTGTTAATTGTTGAGTACGACGTATAGGTATGGTGACGAGTATCTATACGTTGGTGTCAAGCATGCCAGTGAGTCTTATACTTATGATTAATGTGACTCCATTTCATATTGTTCATGCTTTATATGATAATTTCTATTGATGGACAAGACTTGTGGAAGTATTATTAGTAATTGAACATTGTAGAGCGTTGGCTCAAGTTGAGAATTGAGTTGTGAAGTAAATGTGGAAAAGAGAAGAGGTTTATGATATTATCCCCCTTGCCGGGATGTCATTACTCATGATATTGTTTCCCTTGACGGGATGTTGTTGTTATACTATTGTTCCCTTGCCGGGATTTTATTGTGATACTATTGATTCCCTTGCCCAAATTGCTTTGTGATTGTTGCTTGGGTGAGGAAGAGTGTAAATCACGAAGGGTGATGTCGTGCATGATTTTGAGAGTGTTAATGCACGAAGGGTGATGTCGTGCCAATATTGTGAGGTAAAAGCATGAAGGGTGATGTCGTGTCGCACGATGCGCAATGTCGTGCCATGATACGAGTGATAATGCATGAAGGATAATTCCGTGCCATGATTTTGTGAGGTCAAAGCACGAAGGGTGATGCTGTGCCGATTATATTGATTATTATGGTGAGGACCAGAGTAAAAGCACGAAGGGTGATGTCGTGCACTTGCCTTTGATTTCTGACTCTTGTTGAAAATTTAATTATGGAGTTCTTTACACATAAATGTTGTCTTTCTGTTGTTACTTGTTGTTTCCCCGCAGCATGTTTTCCCCTCCTATCCTTAACTGTAAATTTCTGCCTTTACTTTTCTGCCGTATATGATTTAACTGCACAGGTTTATTTGGTAGTCCAGTCCTAGCCTCGTCACTATTTCACCGAGGTTAGGCTAGGCACTTACCAGCACATGGGGTCGGTTGTGTTGATACTACACTCTGCACTATGTGCAGATCGCGGTACTGTAGCTATTGGACCGCAGTGAGGTTGCTACATTCAATCCATCAGGCGACCCGAGGTAGTCCTGCAGGCGTCCGCAAGCCTTGGCGTCTCCTTCTATCTTCCCGTTTTGTTTTTTTTATGTATTTTAGAAACAGCTTGTATTTATCTTTCGGACCCTTATTTGTAGTACTCTTAGACAGTCTGTGAAATTGTGACACCAGATTTGGTAGCTTTTAATTTCTGGATTTGTATTAGTATTAATACTAAATTGTTACATTTCATTCTTCCGCTTTATTATTTCTGCTGTTTATACAATGTTAACTCACAACTGCTAAAGAATTAAAAATAAATAATTGTAATGGTTGGCTTGCCAAGCTTTCACTAGTAGGAGCCATCACGAATCCCCGAGGGTGGCAAATCTGGTTCGTGACAAGTTGGTATCAGAGCTCTACATTATTTAGGTCTCATAATTCACAGACAAGCTTAGTAGAGTCTGAGGGATCGGTATGGAGACGTCTGTATTTATCCTCCAGAGGCTACAGAGTTAGGAAAAACTTCACTTCTATTCTTTCCTGTCGTGAGACTGGACTTCTCAATGCTAATTGAACTTCCACTCTGTTTTTTCATAGATGGTGAGAACACGTACCTCTTCATCAGCTGACTAGCAGCCCGAGCCCCCAGTAGTAGCTCCTACGAGGGGCAAAGGTCGAAGCCATGCTAGGGCCCGAGGTAGAGGCAACAACCCAGAGCTCGAGCAGTAGCACCAGCGGTGGAGCCTCGGGTTGAGTTTGACGAGGAGGTTCCAGCCCAGTCAGTTCCAGTGGGGCCAGTTCAGATCCCATAGGGGTTTATCGCCACCCCGGTACTTCAGGATGCTCTAGTCCGTCTAGTGGGCCTTATAGAGAGTGTCGCCTAGGTATGCTTGCTTCCCGTGGCACCAGTCGTCTCTCAGGCTGGATGAGGAGCCCAGACTTTTGCTACTTGCACTCCGAAACAGATGGCTCCCCAGTTTTAGACTCTAGTAGCTCAGCCAGTTGGGGTAGTTCAGCCTGGTGTTGTGGCACAGATCGGAGAGGGGCCAGCCATGTCTGCTGATGCCTTGTGGAGATTGGACAGGTTCACCACGCTCTTCACTACTACTTTTGGTGGTACTTCTTCTGAGGATCCCCAAGACTATTTTTACAGCTGTCATGAGGTTCTTCAGAACATGGGGATAGTTGAGACCAATGGGGTCGACTTTGCTACTTTTCGTTTGTCTGAATCTGCCAAGACTTGGTGGAGAGATTATTGTTTGGCTAGACCAGTTGGGTTACCATCCTTGACTTGGGATAAGTTTTCTCAGCTATTTCTGGAGAAGTTTCTTCATATCACTCAGAGGGAGAACTATCAGAGGCAGTTTGAGCGTCTCCAACAGGGTTCTATGACTGTCACTCAATACGAGACCAGATTTATTGACTTGGCCCGTCATGCTCTTCTTATACTTCCCACCGAGAGAGAGAGAATGAGGAGGTTCATTGAGGGACTCATTCAGCCTATTCGGTTGCAGATGGCTAAGGATACGAGGAGGAGATTTCTTTTCAGGAGGCGGCCAATGTGGCTAGGAGTTGAGATGGTTCTATCGCAGGGGAGTGGTCAGGGGTCTGACAAGAGGCCTCGTTATTCAGGTAGGTTTAGTGGTGCCTCATCTGGAGGCAGAGATTC